GTATGACCATTGAAATATACATGACTGTCAGTTTCACTTGGTCTGGAAGTGTGTCACCAGTAATGTACCTTTCATCAGTTGTTACATGCAGAGACATTGTTAAAAGGTGAAATAAGTGGACTTGACACAAAAATCATATTTGTAAGAGAAACTTCACTTTGTGCTAACCGTACCAATGGAAATCCATCATCTGTTTATTAAGATGTGAGTCAGAATCTTATCAAAGTTTCAAAATACGTCACTGAACATCCAAAACAACAAATTTCCCAATGCCTTTTATTGTTTGGTTTGTTGTTTAACGCCTCACTCAGCAATATCCAAGCTATATGACGGCGGTCTGTAAGTAATCGAGTCTGGACAAGACAATCCAGTGATTGACATCATGAACATCAATCCACGCAATTGGGATACGTTGACATGCATCAACCAAGTCAGTGAGCCTGACCACCCGATTCCGTTAGTTTCCTCTTTCGACAAGCATAGTCGCCTTTTACGGCAAGCCTGGGTTGCTGAAGACCTGTTCTACCCCGGATCTTCACGGGTCGCCTTTTATCATGGATTTTCCTGACTCATGGATTTTCCTGACTAGGATATTGAAGACATTCTACAATTGTCTGACTGTTTGGGAGTATTTGTGCTCAAATTACTGAGATGCGGCTAGATCTGACTTACTGAAAATCTTGTCCTTGCAAGTGAGCTAAATGCTAACGAAACATCTGCATGTGTCTTACTAGTGAAAACAAGATCAATATTTTCACTGTGTGAAGTAAAATTTTATTATTTCAGTGACAGTGACATACTGCCTACCGTCTTGACATAATAAGCGCCCAGGGCGCTCTCAAAATTAGAAATTGGGGGGTCTTATTAGAATATTATTTTGGTGAAAAAAGTTGAAAGATAAATTTCGTGGTTTATGCTGACAGCCTGAAATGTTTATATACGACAGATATATTATTCCAGAATTTAATTGCCCATTATTAAGGGTGCGTGTAAGAAACAAGTGCGTATTATACGCGAATAAATAAGTCTTGTGTATATTTATCAATCGGAAGGGGTGCTAATTGGGATTGTTCACTAGCCAATATATTAGCAAATATCGCTGTTGGCGCTTATTAAAGCAGGGGGGCTTACTACGTCGAATACGGTAGTTAATAAGCAGTGCCCATTGCTTAATGACACAGGACCTGTCCAACATACTGATACCACATGCCCTACTGATGGGTGACCGCCTCCGTGGTCTAGTGGTAGAGCGTCCGCCCGTTCGATCCCCGGCCGCGTCATACCAAAAGATGTTAAAATATGGTACTTGTTGTTACCCTGTCTGGCGCTCGGTATTAAGGGGCTAAAAGTATGCTGTGTCTGAGTGGGATATTCATGTTAAACTGCGGCATGGTATCTCAGTGAGCTAGCACTATAAATCGGCATCAGTCGACAAGTACAAGCAGCCACACAGACACACACAAGTACATGCAAGTCGCTATATGAGTGCAATAATCCTGGACGCGACCTTAAACCCCATTTCACCTCACCTCACCTACTGATGGGTGCGACATTCATACATTGTGGAACGATGATTTATGCTGTATCTGCAATATTTTATCAGTTTACTATTTGTCATCAATATTAGGTGTAAAGAAAAAGACTTATTTTTTTATAAGTTGAAAGGTTTTTGTTATTACAATGATGAGATTTGTAGAAATGATTTAATCATGGACCATGCTTTAACAATGATTTTATGAAAACATTAAAAACAATGAAAAAAAGACATGATAACAATTTAACAATGACAAGTATAGCATCACTGACACAAAAACAGTGACAAGTATGGCATCAATGACAAGATAGCAATGACTGTGATGATAACAAAGGCATGATAACAATTACATGATGACAACAACATAATGATGACAACAACATAACGATGACATGATGACAACAACATAACAATGACATGATGACAACAACATTATGATGCCATATGACAATAACATTACGATGACATGATGACAACATTATGATGCCATGACAACAACATAACACTTACACGATGACAACAACATAACGATGCCATATGACAACAACATAACGATGACATGATGACAACAACATTATGATGCTCATGACAACAACATAATGATGGCATGACAACAACATAATACTTACACGATGAAAACAACATAACAATGACATGATGACAGCAACATAACGATGACATGATGGCAACAACATAACACTGAGAAATTGAATGGAGAATTTTACCCACTATAACTCTATTATACGATCCAGGTTATGCGTTAGGAAGATTTTTGACACAAATGTGTTCATAAGTAAATAGCAATGCGCATCACACTCTTCAACCGTAAACCTTTGAAAAATAATTTTCAAATATTCCATGGGGACAATGTGGGTATTCATTTTGCCCTGGCCTTTTTCTACAGCAGTAAATTGCTAACCCAGACGGCCATGCTACCTTTCTTAACACTTTCCTTCTTTGTGGCTTATGTTGAGGCTGAGTTTGATATCAGTAACATGTCAAAGATCTGTGTGTGTCCGTGGTCTCCTTTCAGTGTCAGCCATGCAGACAGCGACAAAACTGACAGCACCTCGATACATTATATATCAGTAAACTCTTCACCACAACAGTTCCTAAGGACAGATGCCCACTAGGGATTAGTTTATGCTGTAGTGAATATGAAAATCTTAATGACATACTACCTGAATATAATAGGGGAACATATAGAAAAATACCAAAACAATGTGTACTCTAGGAGTCAGTATTTATTGATGTTTCTTGTGAATATATATGTAGAATTCCTGTTTCTGTTTGCTACATTGTTAATGAATCTCTGGTTACCTCTGAGCTACAAACATAACAGGCCCTGCTATGTTAACAGACCTCTGCTTGTTGTCTGGTGGTCTAGTGTTATTTTAGGGATGTTGAAATCTGTGACAGATCGACTCTAAACTCAGCAACACCAGCAGCCTAAACAGCCCTGTATGGTACAGTGGTTACCTTCTTGACTGGTTTCTCTATCTAATTACACAATAAAGTACTTTTTAATGGATCCGGTGCTCAGATGTGGTTGTTTTCATTACATTCAACACTTACGGTTTGGCATGTTCATGATATCAATCACTGGTTTGTCTGGTCCAGACTCATTTATTTATATTTTGAACTGCAACATTTAGCCACATAGTATCCATCCCCTAGTTTCTTCCCATCAGTGTATTGATGGAATAAAGGTAGTTAGAATAGGTCTTCAGCAACCCATGCTTCCCGTAAAAAGCGACTATGCTTGTCGTAGGAGGCGACTAACAGGATCAGGTGGTCAGGCTTGCTGACTTGGTTGAAGCATGTCATTGTATCTCAATTGTGTGGATTGATTCTCATGATATCAATCACTGGATTGTCTGGTCCAGACTCGATTATTTATACAGACTGACATCATATAGCTGGAATATTGTTGAGTGTGGAGTTAAACAACAAACAAATCAAATCAAATGTAAAGTATTTAAAGTAGGGCAGGTAGTCACTAACAGACAACCCGACCTGCGACATTGAGTTGAATTTGTTTCAGAGATTGAGCAATAGTAAACAAACTGTGTTCTTACGTCAATGAAACTAGTACATGTTTTATAATAGTTACTTGGCAATTATGTAGCCCATCTTTGCTGCTGCTTTTTGTAAATAATATGTCATATACACAAGAATATATCGACTGTCAGTATTGTAAGGGAACGCTTGTAACGATTACTTACAGATTGGCCTAGGATTTGGGTGGGGGCACTGATTATAAGGAACAGGGTGCTTAATACAGCGAATACGGTAAAGTTGTTGTTTTGTGTTAGTTGAGACTTTGAGGTTTGTCTGACCCTAAAGTTTCTCCACAATGCTTGCAGACCGCCTCTGTGGCCTAGGGGATAGGGAGTTTGCCTGGAGACTGAATATTCGGTTGTTAGATCTCCGGATGTGTCATACCAAAGGACTTTAAAAGATGGTACTTGTGTACCCTGTCTGGCGCTCGGCATGAACGGGACAAAACAAGGGCTGGTCGGCTGTTGGTATGCTGTGTCTGTGTGGGGTATCCATGTTTAAACTACAGCATGGTATCTCAATTGATTAGCACTATAAAACTATAAAACCAGCATAAGTCTGGACTAGTAGAAACAGCCACACACACATACATGCACGTCACAATATAAGTGAATTACACATAAAACCCCATTTCACCCCCCCTCAATGCTTGCAATGTTATCATTTTGAAATGGACAATTGTAATTATCTATAACAATCAATACATTTGAGCATGTGTCTGCATCCAGTGTACAAGCAAACTGCTGTTGTTTAGCGTCTTCCAAATCAACGAGCGTATTCATTGCACATATCGCATACTTGTCAATCACTCAGCGCTTATAATGTGATTGGTGTGTTGATTACACGATTAGTGACCATTTGTAGCAAAACTTTCCCCTCAAAGGAGACAGCCAGAATTGTTAATGGCAGCCACAGAGATGCTGACAGTATTGACTGAAAGGGTTCGAGGAAGTCACTATTATGATAGTGCTACCGTTTTCTGAAGCTGCATCACTTTTATATTTATCATGCAACTCCAGATTATATGGAAGGAATGTCTGTAATCAACTGGTCAGTATGTGTGATTGATCGGTTAAGGTTAGGGAACTTGATGAGTGTATGCAGACTGCTTGGCCAGACATGAAGCATGTTATCTGAATGGCTTGTTGGTGATCCTTGTCAGTGGAGGTTGAATCTCTCTGGTCAGGTTTTAGAAAGTGTTGATTAAATCTGGATTTAAATGTATTAAGCTGAGAAGCTTTGGGTCATGCAGATTGTCATATTTGTCCGTCTTCCCTCCCTCTCCCCCCTTCCCCTTCTTGACTTTGCAACAACCCCTAATACCCAACTCCGGGCCCTCCCTCCCCCTTAGATCCCCTTCATTCACACACCCACTCCCTCAAACCGAAAACATTGTAACCACCTCATGCTTTCCAGATGTACCAACAGATCTACCTCCCCCAACACTGACACACCACCCCTACCTCACTCCGGATCTACCTCCCCCAACACTGACCCAACACCCCTACCTCACTCCAGATCTACCTCCCCCAACACTGACACACTACCCCTACCTCACTCCAGATCTACCTCCCCCAACACTGACACACAACCCCTACCTCACTCCAGATCTACCTCCCCCAACACTGACACAACACCCCTACCTCAATCCAGATCAATCACCCCAACAACCACCCCCAACACTGACCTAACACCCCTACCTCAATCCAGATCTACCTCCCCCAACACTGACCAAACACCCCTACCTCACTCCAGATCTACCTCCCCCAACACTGACACAACACCCCTACCTCAATCCAGATCAATCACCCCAACAACCACCCCCAACACTGACCTAACACCCCTACCTCAATCCAGATCTACCTCCCCCAACACTGACCAAACACCCCTACCTCACTCCAGATCTACCTCCCCCAACACTGACCCAACACCCCTACCTCAATCCAGATCAATCACCCCAACAACCACCCCCAACACTGACCTAAAACCCCTACCTCAATCCAGATCTACCTCCCCCAACACTGACCAAACACCCCTACCTCACTCCAGATCTATCACCCCAACAACCACCCCCAACACTGACACAACACCCCTACCTCACTCCAGATCTACCTCCCCAACACGGACACACTACCCCTACCTCACTCCAGATCTACCTCCCCCAACACTGACCCAACACCCCTACCTCACTCCAGATCTACCTCCCCCAACACTGACACACTACCCCTACCTCACTCCAGATCTACCTCCCCCAACACTGACACACTACCCCTACGTCACTCCAGATCTACCTCCCCCAACACTGACACACTACCCCTACCTCACTCCAGATCTACCTCCCCCAACACTGACACACTACCCCTACCTCACTCCAGATCTACCTCCCCCAACACTGACACACTACCCCTACCTCACTCCAGATCTACCTCTTCCAACACTGACACACTACCCCTACCTCACTCCAGATCTACCTCCCCCAACACTGACACACTACCCCTACCTCACTCCAGATCTACCTCCCCCAACACTGTCCCAACACCCCTACCTCACTCCAGATCTACCTCCCCCAACACTGACCCAACACCCCTACCTCACTCCAGATCTACCTCCCCCAACACTGACACACTACCCCTACCTCACTCCAGATCTACCTCCCCCAACACTGACACAACACCCCTACCTCACTCCAGATCTACCTCCCCCAACACTGACACACTACCCCTACCTCAATCCAGATCTACCTCCCCCAACACTGACCCATCACCCCTACCTCACTCCAGATCTACCTCCCCCAACACTGACACACTACCCCTACCTCACTCCAGATCTACCTCCCCCAACACTAACACACTACCCCTACCTCACTCCAGATCTACCTCCCCCAACACTGACACACTACCCCTACCTCACTCCAGATCTACCTCCCCCAACACTGACAAACTACCCCTACCTCACTCCAGATCTACCTCCCCCAACACTGACCCAACACCCTTACCTCACTCCAGATCTATCACCCCAACAACCACTCCCAACACTCACACAACACCCCTACCTTAATCCAGATCTACCTCCCCCAACACTGACCCAACACCCCTACCTCACTCCAGATCTACCTCCCCCAACACTGACCCAACACCCCTACCTCACTCCAGATCTACCTCCCCCAACACTGACCCAACACCCCTACCTCACTCCAGATCTACCTCAACCAACACTGACCCAACACCCCTACCTCACTCACGATCTACCTCCCCCAACACTGACCCAACACCTCTACCTCACTCCAGATCTATCACCCCAACAACCACCCCCAACACTGACCCAAACACCCCTACCTCACTCCAGATCTACCTCCCCCAACACTGACACAACACCCCTACCTCAATCCAGATCTACCTCCCCCAACAACCGCCCCCAACACTGACCCACCACCCCTACCTCACTCCAGATCTACCACCCCCAACACTGACACACCACCCCTAACTCACTCCAGATCTACCTCCCCCAACACTGACACACTACCCCTACCTCAATCCAGATCTACCCCCCCCAACACTGACACACTACCCCTACCTCTATCTAGATCTACCCCCCACCATCTCACTCCCACTACAAACTATATTACATATGATCAAGACTATGTATACAACAGCAATCACATTGATATTTACTTCCTGGTTAAGAAGTCATGTCGTCCATTTCACTCAGGCAATTGTAGATAGCTACTGAGGCATATATCCGGGTACTGTTACATGAACCTATCGCGTCAGATGCCCTCGTCTTTGCTCCGTCATTTCACCAGATACCACATCTACAACACACAAGATAATGTCAAGCCTATGTGCAATGCACAACTTTTAGTAAGAGCAAAATGTAAGTTGGAACCGTTCACATATACTGTCAATCAAGAAACTGCCAGGATGGCAAGTCCTGTCATGTCAATGACTGTCAAGCTTTACTGACATCTTCAAATAGGTCAGGCACGATGTCTATTATTTTGGTGTTACTCATTCCGGCTTGGGTTTCCCAACATTTAAGCATACGCAGTTGGTTGAATATAAATATACAGCTGTATAAAAGGCAGATATTTATGACGACAAGGTTTAGTAGGTGAGCCATGCTCTCCACGACGACACTGATATGCATTACCTGTAAGCCTGTTTGATGGGGAGAGTGGACTTCGCTTGGGAGATGGTTGTGTGAGGGTAATGTGAAACTCGTGGTATGCCACACTGAAACTCAAGCGTACTCATGTGTATAGACTTTCAAGTCACGATTCAGGCTAACATTGTAAGGCTGGGAGGAATTAGAAATACACACAAAGTCTTGAAACAGAAGAAAACCAATCATTTGCAGGTAGTGTTTGAAAGCTGGTAAATATTTTTCTTGATTTTTTTCACTCAGAATTTACCTTCTTCTTGATTGCATTTTCAGATAAGTTTAAACTTTGAGGTTGGGTTGGGTTTTTATTTTGATCAGCTGTTCAGTAATATAGTGGGGTGTCAGAGCTGGGACGGGTCCATATTTACTTTTGATGCGACTCCCTATTACCTGACCCACTGTAAGTCTCAAGAGTTGGGTTCAAACTGTCCAGGCTGGAATTGATTTACTGTTGCCCTGGTAAAAGGGATTGAGATACACGCATAAAACGATCTGATCATGCTAAATTTTTACTCAAACATATTAAAGTCAGAAGGAATGCGTGCAGTCAGAAAGAAATGTGAACATTAGCAACTTGTAATGTAACCATGTTTTGTTATTATCACTGAACATCATACCCTGTGACTAACGATGGGTTGGGGTAGCCAGGTCCTACTCTAGACCCACCGGACCCAAGTACCCGAGTTACCGTCCCAGCCCTAGTGTCAGCTCATGAAGCCTGATGTGATGTGGATTATTGACGTTTACCACTTAAACCCACTGGCGCTGTCGTGGTGCTGAAGGAGTAAGGCTTCTATTAGGAACTAAGTTTGGATTTGTACCCATGACGAGTTGATCCTGGCATGGCTAGGGGCGACAACTCTTCAAATTGAGGCACCTTAGATCGACAACAGGGTTTGAAAGAGTTGCTGTCTTTTCTGATGTTCACTCTGACTTTACCGCACATATTAGAATCATAGAAGTACTGATTACATTTTCAGACAACTTTTGAGCACCTTTCAAAAGCATTTTAAATTGGAAAGCACTTTTTAAAATTGTTTTTGACATTTGTGTACATTAACTTTTGATGGATGTGATTCATGTGGACTATGTAAATGGTGTAGTTTATCAAGTTGAAAAAGGTCATATATGATCACACATTGCGATTTTCTATGTCCAGACTTCGAAACATTGAAATGATGTGAGGAGGGTCTTTTGTAATGAGGACGATGGGAAGGAAAATCTAATAATTAATTCATTATGGCTTTACTGACCTGTTTTGTTTGAAGAAATGTTATCATAAAGAGTAGTGTCATTGAAAGTTGAGAAGAAGAAGCCCAATTGTCAAGTGACTTGTTTTGTGGTGAATGCATATTTCATTAGTTGAAATTGACAAGGGTTGTCAATTTCATGTATATTTCATGTTATATATGCTAACCATAAGATTTGCTCTTTTCAGTTCAATTATGAGAGTTCAAAACTGAATTAATTTGGGCATTGTCACAGGAACCTTGAGCACTTGCTTAGTAATGTACTGTTACTCCACAATTAACTGGAATTGGATTAATGTGTAAAAGAACATGTTTGATTGATTTTCCTGTCGTTCTTTTCGAAGGGCACACACTGCATAATCTTGGAATGATTGAACGAAAGATCGAAATGACCATTTAAATGACTTGTCAGTAAAAGTGTATATTCAAGGAAGTCGAGAAGTGGTCTTAATGCAATGTCATTGTTGATAGAGTGTATCAGTGTCCTGAGAAGGTATGTCGGTGGAGACAGGTTAAGACATTAGCATCACAAAGCAAGCAGATACAGGTCACAGGGGTTTAACTTACATTGGGTTGATAGGTTATGCAGTGAAGTATGTGTCATGGACCGATTACCGGTATGCAAAAAGGAGGGTGTATTTTGTGATAACAAGTATACATACAATCCCTTACTTTATTAAATTGGTGCAAACATGAAATTGATGCAAACATTAAAATTTGAGACCACCCCCTGCTCGCATTTATGTGGTCTTGGCTTGAAACTCAAAACAGTCATCTATCTATGAAAATGTCCATGTTATTGAAAAGGAAAGATGCATTTTGTGATTAAGAGTTGACATACTAAGAAATTAGTGCATGAAATGTGAGTGTCCCTTGCTTGTATTAATGCGTTCTTGACAGCTGCGTAGGTGAACGCCCAGTAGAGTAACAACAGCATTTGAGATACTTGATTTATACACAATAATGGTGAATTATGTTCAAAATATCATGGTAACTTGTTTAACAACACATGGAACCTTTTTCAAACCACATTGCCTTTCTCCTTTGACTATGCTAATGTGTGATTTCCTGTGTTAATGTTTATTCTTTAACACTCAGCAACATTCCAGCTGAATGATGGTGGTCTGTAAATAAGCAAATCTGGACCTGATAATCCAGTGATTGACATCATGAGCATCGATCTTCGCAATTGCGTTACGAGCCAGACCACACCATCCCATTAGTTGCCTCTTACAAGCATTGGCTGCTGATGACAAATTCTATGTATACATGTGTATCTAGAACCAATCATAGAACTTTGGGAGAGAATATGTCATGTTCTTATTGGCTGCTTGTAAATAATGTATGTCAAGTCGAGTTCGCTCTATACAGCTGATTCCTTGACAGTTAACATGTATTTTGTTTTAACAGGATTATCCTATAGAAAGATTTGAAGACTCCAAATAACACAAACACAGATTTAATATGCAACCAGCAGTGCAGAGTTGTCTCCGTCAATAAGACTGCCTCCGTGGTCTCGTGGTAGAGGGTCCGCCCGGGGAGTGGAAGGTCATACCAAACAATGTTAAAGCATTGTACTTGTTGTTACCCTGTCTGGCGCTCGGCATTAAGAGGCTAAAACAAGGACTGGTCGGCTCGGACAGTACACTGTGTGTGAGTGAGGTATTCATGATAAACTGCAGCATGGTATCTCAGTGAGCTAGCATTATAAATTGGCATCCGTCCGGACTATATTAAGTACAAGCAGCCACACACACACAGACACACACACATGCATGCACATCGCTATTTATAAGGGCAAAAATCTTGGACGCAAGTTTAACCCAATTTCTCCTCACATGTAAACAATAATCAATAATTAACCACTGGTCAGTGGATCAAATTTCATTCTCAGCTCCCTGGGGAGTCTGCTGTGTGATACATAACTTGATATGTATAATTCATGTCTGCTTTGGTTGAAACCCTACTGTCTTTATATCAGAATACATTTGTCTAATTCCTGTTGAACCCAATAGCTGTAAATCAAGGGGCCCTTCTCCTATTCTTGCTGATTCCCTTATCTTGTGGCTAAACGTGTTTCCGCTATAAATACACAATGTGTCAGAGATGCAGTAACTAGGAAGTGTGAGGATGTTGTTTATCACTGAATTTTCTGACTATTGGTAAGTAATAATGAAGTCATAAAACAATGAAGAAGTAAATACATAGGTCCACAGAACCTCAATATTCACCCTGTGTCCATAATGCATCACAATTGAACAAGTTGTTCCATAAACTTATTTCTGCTTGCAAAACTTGGTCGGCTAGCTTCATATAAAAAACTATGGAAGAAAATAAGGGCCATACTTGCGAGGACCTGTTGGTCCCGCTGCACTGAATACCCCAGCAATGTGGGCAGGGGTCATCCTGTTGATCACTGATTGGAATTCTATCATTACTTGTTAAAAGAACTAACTATTTGACCGACAAGTTGCCGTCTTGTAGGAACCCATATGTTAGTTGAGTGGCAAAGTTTGATGTGACATCATGTTTGCACTTTTGAATTATGACCAGATAGTCAGGTGGTGGTACGATAGACCTTGTTTCATACACAAATATTTCTCTGAAATAGAGCTTTGTGAAGCCGTAATGATAAATTAGTTACGTGTGTCAGAGTACAGGATTTTATGAGCTAAATGTTTGTGTACTCGCTCTCAACGACACTAGCCCATTCAACTGATACTCCCTTACCGAGACACTAGTGGCACATATAATTCATGATGAAATTGTGGAAATATTAGAAACTGGAGCCAAACAATCAAATTCATTCCAACATTTGACTCCTTCATTCGACAGTCAGCATACAGAGACTTGTCCCAATATATGTGGTGATTATGAGGCAGTATGCATGGTATAGTGTTTGTGTAATTAACAAGCTGACATTTATTGGGATCCGGTCTCTTGTCAGAGATAGCATCTTCAGCACAGCTGACATTTAACTGATATGGAAACAGAGGCTGTTCCAAGACTGCTG